CTTAAGCATGATGTGCATGTATAGGAACTGGACAGTGCTAGTAGTTTTGTTAGAACACAAAAATGAGAAAGTAACTCACAATGATTAGGTCAAGTGTCCCCATGGGCTGTGAAGCACTTTTAAACACATGAGAACAGATGGCAACATTTTCACCTACACTTAAGATACAGGGGTCAAAACCTGGTGGTCATCTCAGATGTTTTCACTTCTTTTTCCTGTACATCTGTAACAACAGCAAATCTTGTCACCTCTCATCTACGACACTTAAAAAACCTCTTCATCAGTCATCCTCCCATTGTGGTGGAATAAAAAAAAAAAAAGTACCTCACTTCAGTTTCTTCTGTCATCATTAAGATAATATATTGTTCTGTCATCATTAAGATAATACATTGCACAATTCTGTAAATGTCTTGCCTCATGCAATTTACATCCTTTTATTCTTCCTTTACTCCCCTTCATTATTGATGTGTGCTCATCTGCTCATGTATAATTTCATCTTTCTCATATTTACCTCTTGTTTTCCTATGGTTACTCATGTCCTAGTGCCAGTTAAGTAATTTCATCTCTCACATATGGCTACGGTTTTCCTCTCTTATGTCTCTCCTCAGAATAAAAGCTCTGTCCCTAAGTTATCTATTCAGGTAAGATTCTATATTAAATTTTCCATTTAAAAAATAAACAAACCAAAACCAACCAACCAAACCAAACCAAAAAAACAAACAAAAAAGCATAATAAACAAAAAGCAAACACTACATCTTATGTAATGGGAGAAAAAGAACAACAGAAAAAAAAATTAAAAACTGTTTAGTCACTGCCACCTAAAGTTTTACCCTTCTTGTTGGTTGTTGATGGTAATGGTGCTTAGTCACAGCCTGCTTGCCTTGAGTATCAGAGAAACCCATTTCTTTCTTTCATCCAAGACTAGTTCAGAAATCTCCTCTAGTATTTAAAGTTTTCTATTATTTAATTTCACACATTTTTCTTAGTACTATGGAAAATAATGATTCCTACGTCTCTCCCTAGCTTCTGGACAGAAATTTGAGCCCTGACCCCCACCCCAAGAAAAATATTAGATCTACTGTCACCATAAGGTTTTTTTCTGAATGGACTTTTTTTTTACTTTTTATCGCTGAGAAAATCAGCTTAAATCTGTCCATATTCATATAAACACCTTAATATATTTGCCAAAGTTACAAAGTGGTACTCTTTGGAACCTCTAAAGGTCAATAACTCCCTGTGCACTTTTTTGTTTGTGAGGTGCTTCACAAACAATGAGTTATCCCAGATATTGACAAAATATTTCCAAACTTACCACATTCAATTTTTCATGGCTTCCTGTTTGGAATGAGCATTAGGTAGAAAATATTGGAAGAAAATTGGACTAAGCAGCTGTTGAAGCAGCAGATCTTAGTGGTGATACACAGAAAGACGGATGAGTTCAGACAATAAAATTTACTTACTAGACTGATGCAAAGATGGATCCAACATCACTAGTTCTTTCTAAAGAGGTTTTGAAGCAGCTTTTTAGAAGGTAGAAATATTTTTCACAAACTTTTCAGTCCACCAGTACTAGAAATGACATATTTTGTTGAATCTTCAAAAATCATCTGTTCATCCTCTTCCTCATCTGAGTAGTAATTATGTGACACCCATTAAAAAAGTAGCCAATGATCTTCAAGACCTCATCCTCACACCTACCTATGTCCTCATCCTCACACCTACCTTTTCATGCATGTTCACACTTTAGATACACTTCTTAGATGGGATAGTGAAAGGAAAAGAGTCAGAAGCCCTGTATTTTCCAAAGAATTATATACACAAATATTATGAGAAACTGGTTTAATGGAGTTTGAATAAAATTGACAAATGTCAGTAGTAGAGTACAAAACTGAATCCAGAGCTTACTAAAGTCGTTAGATCAATGCCCTTAGTTCCAAATCTCCTTTCCAATGCAAAGGGTTTTTTTACCTTTGACTTTACTGGAACACTAAGTACAATCATCAGGAAAGAGATGAGTCAAGCTTTAATATCAGACACATCAAGGGAGTTGTGTTTCTCTACATTGCAAATATCACCAGGTTTCCAGAGTCAAAGTGTAGTGTTGCATGTATTTCAGCATGAACAGTTACCAGAATGAAGATTATAACACAGAAACAAACAAACCAACCAAATCAAACCAAACCAAAACCAACCAACCAACCAAAAACCTTCAAGTTTAAGACGTCCCTTTTTACTCCATTGGGAGGACTTCTGAAGGGTTTCTTTTCAGCCATTTTCAGGAAGGTCTACTGTCACTATCTGAATGAAATCACATATTCCATTTCTCTCCAGGACATCACCAAATCAGATAATCAAGATGTTCATCAAATTTTATACCGTGATTACCAGGCTACAATAGTGATGCTCAAAAAAAAAGAAGTCTCATGCAAGGAAATTTCATATTGTTACCAGTTCAAGTTTATTTCAACCTCAAAATAGAGTTTACAGTTGCAGTTTCACAAGAAAAATTCTAATACAAAATACTAATAGTTTGCATTTTTTCCCTCTCAATCAAATGGTTGAGAAAACCATATGCAATGCACACTAACAAGGAAAAGATTTGGTTTACAATAGAATACATATACTAACAGTAGTTTGTTGAGATATCAATGATTTTTAGCTTTAATTTGGTTTTAAAGTGCTTTTTCCTGAAACATACATGTAACAGTGACTCATGTTGGCAAAAAGTACATGTAATTACATCATCTTTAAGATAGATGCTATCTTTTCAGCTGAATTTATTACTGCTTTGAAGAAACAAACTCATCTAATGGAAATAAAGTGTTGAAACAAAGGAGCGGAAGTCTTAAGGAAGTGGTCAGGTTGAGAAATAACAGGCTCACTAAATCACTGTTATTCTATGTAATATGAAACTTAAGCACTGACATACAGGAGATCGAGAAGAAGGATGAGATGAGATGAGAGGAGATTTTAAAACCTGACTGATGTTCCATCTTTTATTCCAACTGTGCTGTTAGACTAGCAGATTTGAGTCACTCAGTGTATGGTTACCACTTTTAAATATGGAACAATTTCAAACTAGAATCCTGATCCATATTTTGTAATATAAACTTGCATTTATGGGAAAATGTCATGAATGCTGGAATTAAATCATGTTAGGTAATATATTCTATACTTTAAAAGTACATAAATTTGGTTTTGTTATGGTTGATAAGGGCAGTTCCATTCATGCTCACCAGTTAGCAACAGACCTGCACACAAATCTTTTGGCTTGGATAATTAACAATTACTGTTCAGTAGTTTCCTAAAATGTTATTTTTCCTAGCTACCCATTATTATATTTGCATTTGACCAAAAATGTCAGGTAGTATCTCAACTAAAGTCACTTTCTTTCCAAGTAGTTGTGCTGGATGTTGCCCTTTTGATGAGACCCTTCAGATTTCTTTTGTATTAACAGAAATTATATTTTCAATTATATTTCTCAATGCAGTGCTAAGCATCATACAAAGTCTTTGGGAAATAAGCATTAATCCAAACATGGAGGATCTTTTCAAAGCTCTCTCTATGAGCTCCAAGACTAACACCTGGTGCACAGGCCAAGGATACTGTTTGGCTCCTAGTCAAAACACCCATACAAATTAACATTGATTTCTAATCAAATGTATTGATTCAACAGGGCTGAAAGACTCCCATTCCTTTCAGCCACCTATTTGTATACATATTCTAATTCTCATTCAAATCTATTAAAAGAGTAGCAAGCTTATGAACCATGATTTCAGCCTTGTTCATCCCTTAACAGTTAGACTTGTTGGATCATTAATACCAATAATGAGCTAGAACTGCAATTAGTGTCTAAATGAAATATGCCACAAATTACTGATTTATCATTATGCTTGTCAGTAAAAATATACTATGGCACAGCAGGGTAAGCCCAGAAATTATATGGTTCCAGAGACTCAAAACTACTAGTTTTTCCTAGAAGGTATCTGAGAACAATATTCAGAAACTCTGTCATTTGATTACCAGACCACCTTTGTCAAAGCCACAGTACATAGTACAAAAGGAAAATCCACCAATTTTTTAACAGTGCAAATTCTTAAGTGCTAGTTGTTAAACAATTATTTGTTTGCCAGCTTGTCTGACCCATTGTCTTCTTCCTTTCTCCTTTCACCAGTTTTAAACTCTGTGTCTTCATTCTCTTCTTGTACTGTATTTCACTTTCTCGCACTAAACTGGCTCAAACAAAAACTGCCAGGCTGCTTAACCACACCATTCTTCTCCTTTTTCTTGTGTTCATTTTTCAAAATCTGTGGCAGAGCAAGGTCCTAAAGCCAAATTTGATCCTCTTACATCATTTTTGCATTTGCTAATGAAGTCATTGGAACACTGATCCCAGAGATATGCTGCTAGCAGCATATAAAAAATCTTTGTAATCCCAGCTCATGCAGATACAACTTCTACCATTCCATCTTCTCAAACACTTTACTGCAGCAGGAAGAATCGTGCTGATCAGATTTTTTTTAAGAGCACGTTATTTGTTACTTCAACATGAATCCTACTTATTTTAGGATACAGACAATTCACTTCAGTTTTATATAGTTGTAAGCATTGTATTATTTTTCATTTATTTATTTAATGTCCTTAGGTACTCAAATATGTATAGACATATAAAGTATTCTAAAGGCCTAGTATTATATATAGACTACCAATAGCAAAAAAACCCAAAACCAACCAAACAAAAAGCCAAACAAAAAAATAAGACAAAACAAACAACCAAACCAAACCAAAAAACCCACCAAAAAAAAAAAAAAACAAACAAACAAACAAAACAAACCACACACACAAACCCCAGAAAACCCAAATCCAACATTTTATATTAGTTCTCTTTTCATTTATTTTAAGACTTTCAAAGTATGTCCAATGACCAGAATGTGCCGTTATAGCAATAGGAAAGATCACTTTGCTTGAATCATTTACCAGCAAAGAAAGACCATCATTTGTGGATGATAATCAATGAAATACAAAGTAGCCAGTTTCTGACAAACTCTCTCTAGTTACTAATAGCAAATCAGCAGTTGTTTATATAAAAGTTTGTATCAGATATTAAAACAGTGTGATTCCTAGTGCTCAGCTGTCTGGAAGAAATTTACACTACAGATTGCCTGCTACTCAAGCTAGATTCCTTCCAGGATTTCTTTAGCAGTTTCCAAGAGTTCCCTGAAAAGATGCTGCCAGCAGCTTATGAACTCTGTCAAAGAAGACAACACAAACTTGTCTGCTCTAATAAAAATGACATTCAAAACATGAACAGTGAACAAAAAGGTCATGTGGATGAGCTCCACCTTTGGAGTTACAGTCTATTTGCAGTCTCCATGTGACCAATATCCCAAACGAATTTTTACACCACATAGTTGCAATTTCACAAAATGTTTGGGAGAATGGACTTGTCATATAGTAAAATCACTGGAGGAAGGACAAGGACATTCTCACCATCACTATCATCCAGGCAGAGCACTATCATCCAGGCAGAGCATCCACAATTGTCTAATATCCACTTCTCAACACGATCTCTTGAAGAGCCTCCTCTGTCCTGAATTTCTCCTTCATGGACTGTAGCCACTGAAATAGAGAGGCAGAAAGCTGCTTGCTATAGAGTAGACCCATTAAGTAAGACTGTGAGGAAGTCTTGGAGGCAAAGCAAGAGGTAAGATTTATTTAAGTAATGGGACAGAATTACTCTACAAGTCTTTAAAAAGGTCTCAAACCATTCCAAATCTTCAATTTCAAAAGACACACAGGTTTTGAGAACTGCCTTTGCAAAGAGGAACCCCTGTCAACCCGGCTTGTTTTATTACATGAAAGCTTCTAATTCTAAAATAAATAGCAAAGACAAAGAGAGCATTTACCAGGCCCCTGGTGTAAGCTGGAAATTCTCAACTTGTAACAAACTCAAGGGGTGTGTGAGAACATATCCTTGTGCTTCTTAAAAGTTGGTGTAAGAATTCTACCAAGAAGTGAAAGTGACCTGGTGGGCCCAGTTGAATGGTTAGTCATGTTCAGAACTTCCAATTCCAAGTATCCCGTGCAACACACATTACTCAATCCAATAAAACACAGCTGTTCACAATGAAAAAATTGAGAGCTATTCTGCAAAGATTTAAGCTTGGCTCTATAAACTGTAAAAGCAAAAGCTGGAAAGTATATGTCCTATATTCTTACAGTTTAATAACTTGATGACTGTTTATGATGACTAGTGGGAAAAAAATAGAAATTAGGAAAAAGGAAAGTCACACTATTAACTCATTTCTCACAAGAACAATACAAAGACTCAAAGTTGTCATTCTACCATAATCACTTTTGCCCCTATAGAAGTTCTTCCTAAATCAGATTTCACATCTGATTGAGTATTTTAAGCAGAAGAGCACTAGCAATAGTGAGAAATCAAAACCATGGAATGCAATATGGATAATACCCCAAAAAAGGAAAAACTTTACATCACTATTGTCTTGAAGCACAAACTTATATCACTGAGGCTGGACTCACTGATTAGACACCATGCATCCATGCAAGAGTTTTATTACAGTTATGCAGAAAAAATTTTCAGGTTTGTATTCTGTAAGTCATGTCCCTCTGTCCATAAAGTGTAGAGCACAGTCTGTATCTCTGTAATAACTTCAACTTACTTTCCATACAGCCTTATGGCTCCTCAGATTCTTCAACTGTCACCTCTATATCTTCTGCTAGACAAGGCATCTTCTGCTATCAGAAGAAATATTGGTCAGTCATTTTCAACATGAAAGGCAAAGGGCAGATCTGACATTTTGTTGTTTATCTCTAGACATATCCTCATCGAAAAGGTCAGATTTTCCTAAAAAACACCATTGTGTCACTTTGTTGCCATGGGACAATCCATGCTCAAAGGCCTCCTTTTATCTTAGGCTCTTGCCGTTACCATTTACAGTTCAGCATTACCATCATACACCACCCCTCATCATCATCAACATCACAGACAGTAGTTCAGCATTAGAAATAGGAAAGTTAGTAAAGGCTTGGAAGGTCAATTCAAATAAACATTCAAAAGTTCAACTGTTTACAAAAATCATTTCCATTTCTAAAGCAGACTGGAAATCCTGTAAAAACAAAATGCATAGTAAGTTTAGACCATGACATGCAGAGAATCCTGAGAAGGAGATAACAAATACTTTAAGACTTTTTATCATTTTTTTAATTGGCATTGGAGGAAGTTACGTGTAGTCTGTTAGCATGCTCTCTCTTAGATGGCTTGCTATGAAGATAAACATAAGAGTGAGAAAACTGTACTCAGAATTTTGCAGCTTATTAAAAAGGAAAACACACACTGTTCTTGACAACATCTTTACATTTTGGCAACTATGCAGTCAAAAAGTATGTTTTCCCACTTCCTGATGACTCCTGCTGATTGAAGTGATTTGGTTTCACCTTCTCTCCCAAAAATGTATCTTCAGGGGTCTGGATGTACCTTCAAGTCTATGGATGGAAACTTTCAGATGAAATAAGGAATATTTGTGACAACAATCATAATGGAAACTTTAGAGCAAACTTCCCAGAATTTCAGTGTGAAAATGTGCCAGAGATATTTGCTTAATGTTTCATTATTATAAGCCGAATTAATGTACAAGCACAAAGATCTGGACAGGAAATCACCACATGAAAATCAGAGGAGAGTGAGGTGGGGAGAAGTGTTCATATGTTTATGAGGGTGGATTGAAGATATTTAAATGAAATGTACAGGAATCCTAAAGGACTGACAATGCAAAAGTTGTTTACTTTGGTTTAGCACAGCAGCACTAACACAAAAGCCATTATGTGGAATCTCATTGCATTAGCCAGCTAGTGAGTGTCACAGCTTCTGAAAACAAAAAGTCTGATTGTATGAAATCATTCTGAATCAGAGGTAAGCAGAGGAGTTTTTCCTCCCCCTTCTTCAAGGATCTGCCAAGCATGTCAGATCATTCATGTTAAATTATGCTGGATGGCACTGGGATGTGCACTACTGTCATCTAATGGCTGAGTCGCAGCTGTCAAATCCTTTGTACCGTGAGCCTTCTGTAGCAATTCAACAATGGTCCAAAACAGGGGAATAGGCCTTCATGTGCTAATTTAAGACTAGTTCAAAAATAACAAAATAAACAACACACATGACAATCAGAGAAGTAAAATAGTCTCAACTCAAACAGCTTCTGCTTACCTGCAGACAGGGTTAGTTTACTAAAATCCCATGGCAAAACTCATTTCTGGTACAAAGTGCAATGATCTTATTGATTTAGTCAGTAGCTTATTTGGCTATAAATTTTAAACCTTTACAGCAGGCAGAAAGAAGGGAATTACTGAAAATTAGAAGAATAGTCATACAAGAAAAATGTTTGTCTGTATATCTATTCCTTGAATTGTTCCATGGCTTTAAAAACTTAAATTAAGTTAGAATTATCAACTCCGGCTAAGTTAAAATTAAGCTTGTACTTTTTACATATTTATTGTCCTTGCTGACCTCTTTATTTACTTAGTAAACAATCTTTCCTAAATTTTCCTGTGGCTCAGTCCATGCTAGGAAAACACTAATCTCTCCCAGGTTTTAGCTTTCTCTGTTCCCCTGCACCATAGTTTGACCTGCGGGCAAATGAAGCCATTCAAATATTTGCTTATCTTGTCATCTGTTCTCATCAGACCTTGCAATTCCTGTCATGCCCCACATGTCAGTTTAAAGCATAACGTCATTAATACCTCCAGCGCCCTAATGGATGCTTCACACATGAACGCATTAATGAAATGTGTTATTGTTTTCCCTCACAGGACATTAACAATCTCGCTCATGCTGAGCCCCTGAAGCCCTGCAGTGCTGCTGAAAACCACTAGCTATCAAATGAACCCTCAGTTACGCCTCAGTAACTTTAGGTTCAAGTTTATCACTGAAGTGTCACTAATGTGAGGAGAAGATACAAGCCTCTAAGGTCTTTCGGGCCCAGCTTCAATTACCATAAAGAGTAACAGGAGGCAATAGCTGCGAGGGAAAAATACACCATCATATAAATGAAACACTGTCAAGACAAAATAGGAAAGATCTGGGTGTCAATGTAGTAATTTTTTCTTGTTTCTGTCTGTGGACTGGTGGCTTGTACAATGAAGACAGGATTTGTTTTCTGGAGGATATAAACACAAATAATCTAGTTTCCTGATAAAGATGTTAAATATAAGACAACAAAGATTTCTTATGCAAAACATATTTAAAATTGCATTTCTGTATCTTTAAGAATTATTTCCAGATGAGTTTATAAAATGGCCACAGCAAGTTATGTGGGTTTTACATACAGGTTAGCTAAATAAGACTGCCAGTCTTCTGTTAGGCTGTGGTTGCAAGAGTACTTTGGCAGCAGAAATATGGTAGTAGCTTTTTCACATTACAAGTAATGTCACTACCCTTTCTATAGGTCAAAGGAGAATAAAAATAAAGTTTTTCTCTGCATTCACATCCACTATAAGAATCAACCTCTGATTCTGCATTAAAAGCTTTTATTCCACAAAGCCAATGGATGAAGTTGTTTAAGGCTAACACTGTATGGTTAGCCTTAGAAACCAGAATTCAGAGCAGCTAAGAATTTTAAATTTTCCTCTGTGTAGTATGTATTATTGTGTAACACTCTCAATAGGACAAATACAAAAAAGTACTGCAATTTTACCTAGTATGAAATCAGGAAGTTCTCTTATACTACAGTCAAGCTTTGGCCCTCATTCTATTCTCAAGTAGTGAAACCGCTATATAGAGGCTATGGGCACACAGTTAGCACTGAGACCATGCTAGGAACAGGCAGTAGAGATCCCCAGCTGTAGAACAAACAAATATTAAGTCCTGCACAGGTCATTCCTGGCTTATTCTATTCCAGGCAACCTCCATCCTGTGAACTACCCTGAAAGCTCCATTTTTCATTGGTCCAAGACATGACATGAATCTCACAACTCTCCAGCATAGGAAGTTTCTGATGAGCAGCCTGCAAGGTCAGGAAGGTGGGTGGTCCCTATTTTAGCTTATTGCCTATAAACCACTTAAGACAATCTTTGAATGCCTTCACAATATTATAGCATAAGTCCCATATACATACTTCATATTGTACCAAATAAGTCCCACAGATATGAAACATAAATGGGAGAATGAGTCTTGTCATGAAAATTAACAAACTATCCCTGGAAATCAGGAACTTTTACTGCCACAAATGCACAGCTGTCTTCTGCAGAATCAAGTGGATTGCCATTTCACTCTTTCTAAGGTACCAACAAGTAGTTGGTGTTTCTTGTTTCTAAGATTGGGACAAATGGAAACATTATTTCAGAATTTTTAATATTTACAATCCAGAACCATTTCATCCCCTTGTTCATCCCTTCTTGTGTAAAACATTTTCTTTTCTCCAGCATATATTTCCATAAAGAGGGAGTAGTAAAATCAGTGTCAGCACTTGAGAGTTTTTCCTCCCCGTCAATTTATTAGTGTACTAGGTCCTCCTCCTCAGGGTCTCCCAAATCAGTGATGCATCACAGTGTCTCCGGCTCAGATATCACAGACTGTCTGCTACATCCTGTTTTTTTCTTTTTATTGCCATTGCCTAGTCAACATGTCCAATAAACCTGTGACCATGATATTACATGTGATACTGGACTTCATTTCTGAACATTTCCAAACAAGCAGTTTTCATTACCTACCCATTTCTTCCTCTTAATTTGCTAATTAATTTCCAGGCTTATGCTGGAGTGAAGAAATTTTATCCCATTTGCTGCTGAACAAGCTAAAATAAGACATGCACCACTGCCAGCAAGGATTTCCTAATGACTTCCTAGTCTGTTGTTTTAATGTGTATGCCTATACACCGAAGAGAGGAGTGTCCCAGCACCAGAAATGCTGATTGTTAACTAATGGAAAGGATGAATTGCATGCTATTTGGAGATGCTGTACAGCATAAAGTACATGGTCACATGCTTCCCACATGGTTATGAGTACACTCAAGTTAAGCAACTCAACTATTTCTTTGGTTGCATGCACAGTAGTAAATTAAAGAGCCAGGGAATGTTCCTAGACACAGAAATCCAGTAATTTCTGGCACTAAGCTTTTAAAATGGCCCCTGGTGCTTCCTAAACAACTTTCAGGTGCAGCTCAGGAGTTTGAAAAGGGCTCTTGCCTGTGCTAATTGCCAGCTTAAGAGCAAATTTCATGTTTCAGATGTCATTAGTTTAAAAGAATTTGGACAAAGGCTGCTTTGTGTCAGTGTCAGAAAGGCTCCATCATCAGTTAGCCTACTTGAGTAGATTATAGCCTTTAATATCACTCCATTATATATGTCTATATATGTAATGAGATATATATATATATACACACACATATATTTCCATTCCAAGTTGTTACTGGTTTCCTATTTAATCTCCACATATTTCTGTACAGGAGAATAAATACATGAAATATTGAGGTATGTTCAGATACTGGTGTGCTATTTGGCATATTAAATGGAGGAGAAAGTACCTATGTCTACATTAAGCGGCAATTCAATGCATTTACAATTAGGGTGGTAAAACACTTGCACATGTTGCCCACAATGGTGGTGGATACCCCATCCCTGGGAACATTCAGGGTCAGGTTGGATGGGGCTCTGAGCAACCTGGTCTGGTGGTAAGTGTCCCTAACCATGGCAGGGGAGTTAGACTAGATGATCTTTAAAGTTCACTTCGATCCAAAATA